TGTTGGGGCTTGGGAGTGCGTGGGGAACTTTGTTTGGGTGTTTTTCCATAGCTGGGTTGTTGGTTTTCTTTTCCTTTTAATGGTTAAGTAAATATATATATGGGGACCAATCGAGAAATACAACTGTGAAATCAGACACGCACGCGGGGGCAAGGGAGTCACAAGTTGCTACATAAAACTGCCACGTCTAATAGGATGTGCATGAGTTAAAGTACATCAATTAGAATGGGTGAGGGGAAAGGGGCAGCCACCATCTTAAAAGACAGTCCCAGGACGCAGTACGCTCAGCCACATCAGCTCTCCCCGCGGGGCTCAAAGGGGTCATGGTGGTGATTGCAGTCTTGAAAAGAGTCTCCTGGTGCTTTGCACCTCATAGCCATGCCGGTTCCCGTCAGCCATGGGAAAGCACAGCCACCATCTTGCAAACAGTCTTGCGGTGCTTTGCACCCTGATGGCTGGGACCAGCCCCTCTGCACGCAGGAGCGGCCACTTTCGAAGGGGTCCCGTAATGCTTTGTTTGCATCTGAAGGGATGTTGGAAAATGGGAAGCCACTCTGGCTAATCTGAAAAAGTTCCACATTGCTTTTCTGTATCACTAAGCAGTATCTTACACCTAAAGAGGGGTGGGGTGTGAGGAAGCATCTTGAAAAAAGACTGTGCTGGGTGTTGAGTTACTTCTTGGCCAGACCTTCTCCTCGCAGAAGCAGAAAAGGCAGCAGCGTCGTGGACATGGTCGTGTACATGAAGTCCTGTAATGCTCTGCACTTTCTATTTAATGCAACTGTTCTCCCAAAACAAAGGATGGAGCAGCTGCCATCCTGTATTCTCATCAATCTTTGTCTTTTTGAGCTCTGTGCAATGCCGATTCCATTTTCTTCAGAGCTCTGCTGAAATCACGTACCGATCGTTTCATGTCTATTAGTGGTGTTGCAGTCCCTCCCCATTTTCTCTCCTCCACTTTCTGCTCCCAGGATGCCATCCCGTTACTTTTCGTCCCGTCTTGTCTTGCACTCTACTGCGTGGTGGGGTCAGGATGGGTCAACTCTGCAGCTTCCCCTCCCCCAGGATTTGGTTGATTGATTCCTCCTCTTGAGAGAAAGACATGATGATGTCACGTTGACAGTAGGAGTCCATTTAAAGGGGTTTGTCACTTTCTTTCTTCAGGTGACTAGGATAAAGAAGAGGAACAAGGTGATTGTGAGAGAAAAAAAGGGAATTTAATATCTACCACTGCATTTTGTTATTCTAGTCCCGCACGACACAGCTGGCTTGGAAAGTTTTGCAAATCCTGGACGTACAAGATGCTATCAAAAAGGTACAACATTGCAGCTCTCTCTTTCCCAATGTGCTTCCCCAGGCACTTGTGAAAGCCCTGTCTTGGCGAAATCATCCAACCCTTGGAACGTTTGGTATTTTGGCAGGGTTATCAGTTAGTCATGACCGTAGCAGCATGTGCGAAATACACGAGTTTACCCCCAGCCCCAGAGCAGAGGAGATGGGACCCCACACAAGATTAGCCACTTGCCAAGAACGACCTTCCTGGTGGCGAACCCACAGCTGTGGGCTCAGCCCGAGTCACCCACTTCAGGGGCAACCCTTCCCTGTCCCCACCACCTCTGCCAGCCCCAGGCCAGGGCTGGGCCCAGAGATGTACTTGTGAGGACAGAGCAGTCTGCTCACCCCACACTGTGGGGGAGAGCAGGTCCATGCACCTGTAGTAATCCTCCTGCGTCGGGAGTGGCACGCCGTGCAGAGGGTGATGGGCGTGAAGCCACTGCTGCTGTTCCAGAGCCAGGCGCTGCAGCTCAGCTGACTGCGCGTGCATGGCCTGGAGCTGATGTGCTGCTGACATGGGCGCGGAGAGAGAGCCTGGCAGGTCCCTGTAGGGTGCAGCTGCAGCCAAAGACAAAACAGAATAAACAAGTTAATGTAACAGCTCCATCCTCACCCGTGGCCCCAAAGCTCAATTGAGACTCTAGTGCACTTCATTTCCCACGCTTGCCCATGTGCGCAGGATTTCCTCATCCCCTCAGAGTGTAGGCCTGTCCTATGCCACACTGGAGCTCTGTTCAATAGACCTCAGTTTGGTCCTGTGACCCCCCCATGACCACCTTGGCCCTTGGAGCCCTGCTGATGCTGTTCAGAGGAGAAGAGCAGTCCCTGTGAGCACCCTTACCAAAAAGCTGGTGGCGCAGCACTTCATTCTCATGCAGAGGGTGAGGCAGGAGAGGGTTGGGGATGGTTCCAGCTGGGTACGGTATCCGGGTGAGGTGTGATCCCGAGGCAAGTGGGTCAATAAGAGGATGAACAGATGCTGAGGCTGGGAAGAAAAGATATCACAAGATAATTATCCCACGCTTTGTAAGATGTAACATGGAGAAAGGCACAAAGCACAACAAAAGAGACATAGAGAGGGTCAGTGTGTGTTTAGGGATAGAGATTTCAAGGCTAGACAACTGCAGTACCACGTCCTTCTGAGCATTACTCTTTTTGCCTGCACTGAATCTCACGTGAACTAGTCTGGCATAGCTCTGTCCCTAACTCCTCAAGGAGAAGTACTGCTCCTTAAAGTCGATTCTGCAAGGACCTGCTCTGCAATCATGTCTGTACCCAGTATCATGCCTATCTGCCACCTTGGCTGTCATTCATGTGCATGCTCATATTGGGTGCTTCCATTTCCAGGTCTCATCCAGCACAGACGCTCAATGCCAGGCACTGAAGTTTGTAAGTACTATCTAAGGCTGAAATGCAAGGTACTATTTATATGAAAAACTGCTCTTTCCACTGTTTTGGACTCACTGCCAGTGCTGGCTGGAGGTGCCCAGCAATGGAGCATGGGGGAAAATGGATATTCATTTGTACCTGATGCCATCTCTGAGTAGTAGAGTGTGTTTGTCTGTCTGACTGCCACCAGATCCCACTGACTGCTCACTGTACCTGAGCAGGCACAGCTCTTTTTTCCTATTTTATTGTAGTTTGGGCTTTTCTTCCCTGAGATTTTCATCACTAAACTTCTGTTTTCCTGTGGGATGTGGAAATGGAAGGAACCACCACTCAATTCTGAAGGACAGCAGCCTCCAGTTCCTTACAATTACCCCATCTTCTCTCCCACCATCTGCAGCAAGAGCCATAGCAGCAGACTAGAGAATCAACATTTCATTAGTCCTAAGGATACCGACGCAACTGTCAGCAGAGCTCCCGCTCCCTCTGCAGACCACAGTGTGAGGGATGCAGTCCACAGGACCACCACCTTGGTAGCCACTGGGACCCCAGCACTCATATTGCATCCCCAGAGACCCAGAACTAAAGGCCATGGTGCAAACGACTCTGCTCACCACTAAGCAGTGAACTCACAAGTGCCCCAATACTTGCAACAGATGTCAGTGTCCTTGGTGGGATGGGAGCCAGGGCAAGGCTGAATGACCATGATGTTGACCTCTTCTGGCTGAAGAGGCAGATCTGGAGCCTCAACCTCTAGTCTTGGCAGCTTCTGGGCTTCCCCAGGGCCAGAGGGAGGGAACGCAAGGAGCGTGCAGGAGGAGGGAGAGCAGAGCTTTGTGCAGGGCACCACCACCGTGGGGTCCTTACCTGCATGTATGGCATCCTGCTGGTGGAGATGGAGGTGGGAGTGGATGTGGGAATGCTGATGATGGTGAGGTGTCACATTGAGCATCTGCAGCCGGGCCAGAGGGTCATTGCTGAGAGCAGCCACCCGCTCAGCATGCTGGCGCTCAGCTGCCAAGCGCTCGGCGTAGGACATGTCAGGACGAAGGGTCGGGCCAGCTGCCAGCGCCAGCCTCTCCCGCTCCAAGTGGCCCAGCCCTGGGTGGAAGGGAAAAGCGGGATGAAGGCCAGGGGCTGTCTGCAGACTCAGCCCGCCATGACGTGGGAACGGATCCATAGCAGCAGCTGGCACAGCATGGAGCTGCTCCAACTCAGCTGGTTTGACTTCAAAGCCGGGCTTGAGACGTTCACGCAGGTCCCGGTCCCTCAGGTCTCGTTCACGGGCTTCCCGCTCCCTCAGCTCTCGCTCCCTTGTCGCTGGATCACTGCTGTAGATGGCCGGCACATTGTACCCCAGCAAGCCTGGGTCAACTGCACCCAGCGGCACATAGAAAGGGTGGTTGCGGTTGCTGGGGGACATGACATGGGGCCGCGCATATTCGCTGAGGGTGCGCAGAGCAGGGGTGTCGGGGCCCAGGTACGGGGGAACAGTCGCTACAGCACTGCCCTGCTCAAAGGAGGGACGGTGAGGAACTGGCCCAAGGGACGAGCACTCAACTGGCCGGCCCTCCTGGGCCATCTTCTGTAAGAGAGCAGAGACACCAGTGTCAGAGTCCCACCAGCAAGCAGCCGAGGGGGTCCTGGAGCATCTGCCCCATCTGCACTGTGACAGTGGGACCTCCAGACCTACCACGCTCCTCTCCAGCTCCCGCTCCTTCTCCCGCTCTCGCTCCTTCTCCCGCTCCCGTTCCCGTTCCCGCTCCTTCTCTTCCCGCGCCTTCTGCTCAGCCTCTCGCCGCACTTTCTCCACCAAGTCTGCCCTTTTCTTGGCCAGCTTGGAGCCGTCGAGGGGCACGAAGTACAGGTCTGTGCGGGAGCAGGAGTTGAAGCCACGGTCCAGGTGTTTGTTGAATCTGGGGGCAAAAGGTGAAGCCTGTCAGCACAGAAAGGGCTGGATGGCACGGATGGGGATGGGGAAGGGATGGTGACAGGGGCAGGCCAAGCCAAGCCCAACACTGTGGGAAAGGGGAGACCATCATGGAAAAGGCAAAAGGGTGCAGCTGCGCCCCACGCTTAGGGTGACCTCCCCTTCCCTGCCTCATATGTCCCTCCCCAGCCTGGAGACTCCCCGGCCCCCCCTGCCAGCTGCCCCTCACCTGGCTGACTGGCTGGCATGGCTCGGCACATCCACCACCTTGGGGGGTGGCGAGGGGCTGCGAGCAGGTGGCACAGGGCTCTCAGGAGGCTCGTACTCCTCCGAC